TCACACAGCTACACATTTTTTGATAAGCAGAGCATATTTGATAGGGGAGCAGGAATGAAGGATGAAATGTTATAAGGGAAAACTGGATAAGTCAAAGAAAAGGCCCCTAAGACACAGCATGTGTTTTTCTCTCTTAGAGACTGGAGGCTGTGCACATAACACCAAGTAGGCATTGTCTGTTTGCCTCAGGAAGTCTTTTCTGTGACTTGATCATATTTCCCAGCTATCAGTTGAAATTGTGTCTCCTGGAAGTGAAGGACAAGGTGACCCACCTGGGGACCACAGGCACATATGGGCCATTTTAGTGTTGAAGTACAATTATCCAAACATAAATAGATGCCTCTTATTATCAATCACCAAAGCCATGTGGCAGCTGTCTTCCGGTGGCCTCAGAGATGTGCGCTATGACGGTTGGAGAATCAGAATTCAGTAAAACTTCTTGTACTGTTTTCACAGTACAGACATGGAATGGGGGGGGGGTAGGCAAAGTATAGAAATCTTGGACATTTCAAAATGCTTATTTGTAAGAGAAACAGTTAGAAGAACCCCTGAAGTGTCTTTCACCCACACATCTCCGCTTATTTCAAAGTGGTGACCCCAAGCACTCTTTTGAACAAGTCCGGGTAAGCTATAAAAAACTGATCTTGTTACTGACATAACATGAAGAATCTATAACTTAGACTCCTTTATCCTAGGACCGACTGTTACCACCCTGGCATTCTATGTCAACCTTGTCCATCCTTAAATTCAAATTCAACTCACTGATCCTTAAACGTGTCTATGCCCCAAAGTTAATCATCTCTATAGTGTTCCTTTCATTTTTTCTGTCTTTTTTTTTGCCTTTTATTTTGCTTGAACTTGCCCCAGCCTTCCTTTAAGAGAATGAGGTGTTTTAAGAATATGTTTTCACACCCAAACATTTTCAAATAAAAGGTAGCAGCATGTGAATTAAAGAGGAGAGAATCATTAAGGAAGGCACACAGGAAGGTTGGGAGCCGAGCTAAGCCTTGGCTGAACTCAAGTCTTAAAGTGTTGAAGACACACGGTGATCTCCTCTGGGTGTCGTGTTTGAAGGACCTATAAGTGAGCTCAGTTTGATTTGGTCCAACTGGTGACATTTAGCCTTCTTCATTGACCTTTTCTGTGCCAGGAGGATGGAAGTCCATATGATGGGTCTTCTAGAATATATTCTATTACCCTCAACCGGTTCCACTCATCCCAAGCTCTTTGAGGTTTCTAAGGGCTATATATGACTTCTACTCTGTCAGAGAGATGATTCACCGGCCTCCTTCTCTGACCACCTTGGTTCTGGTCTCCTCTTACATCCTGGTCTCTTCCATGGCTCTCTTTCTTCTCAACATTCAGTTGGGGAAACTAGTCAAGGCCTAGCTAATTCTTACAAAGTCCTCATTATCAGAACATGCTCCTTTACCCTGCACGGCAGCTGAACTAATTCCCCGCGCTCTCCCATCCTTGTTTCTTTGATTAAAGAACCACTTGAGCCTTTTGTGCTTCTCTCTGCACATTTCTACATTGCACACCCCTGCTGACATTCTGCTTCCCCGTCAGGCTGTGACATGCCTGCAGGAAGGTGGCAGCCTTCTGTCTCACTGGCACTGTGTTTTCATTTGGGAGACTTGCATAAACACACTGTCTGTTATCTCCATCTTTCCCTTTCCTTTCATAACTGACTGGGTTGCCTGCTCTCCCCTTGCCAGGTCTGCAGACATCAGCAGCAGCTCAGGTCTTTTCAGTTGGAACACTTTCCCATTGGCTTGTTCTTTACAGCAAAGTGGTTTCCTCTAGTGAGACTCACTCCTTGGGGCAGCCTCTTGCTTTAAGAAGGAAATTTCTGTTCCCTCTCACGTTGTTCTCAAAAGAATTCCAAAGGTAGCACTCCACCCTCGTCACCGTCTGTAATTTTCCATCCCAGTCTTTATTACAGGGTCATTATCATGATGCTGTATCCATGAATTCCTTCAAGGACACTCCGCCCTGTGTTCTGGAAGGTCTTAGTGGCGGCACCTCATACAGACAGTCTTCAGTTTCCTGGGTTAGTCCTCTCTTTGATCCTGTTGATCCAAACACCTAGGTTTCTGTGCCCTGGTCCCCTCACCTGGGAATGGTTCTTTGAAACCTTTCGTGTTGGTCTTTGATCCTTGGAACTCTCCTGACCTGTTCCATTTGGGAACAAAACAAGTTTTGCTCATTCAAGTGCCATACTTTTCTCAGTACCCAAGTGGTTACAGTTATACATACTTACTATCCAAATTTTCTGCTAACCTGTTCCATTTGGGAACAAAACAAGCTTTGTTTCCCCAACTGTTCTTTTCTCAGTACCCAAGAAGTAATAATCATTCGTACTTATTTTCCAAATTTTCTGCCAACTTGAATCTTTCTTGTTGTTGTTGTTTATTCTTTGTCTCTTTGGGAGGCCCACCACCCAGCTCCAAGTAATCCATGGTGACTTATTATGATTTATAAATATCCAGTCTAACTTTGCTTGCTTCTAGCCGGCTTTTCTTAACTTAAATGATCCCATCTACCTGTCACCTCTGGGCTTTTATCATTTGCTGTTCTATACCTTTCTTTCCTTCTTACTCTGTGGCTTGCTGGGTGGCAGGGTGGCTGGACCTTTGATGTCCTCCTCTCCTTCTTCTTTTCTTGTTCCTTCATCTCTTTTTCTCCTTTTTAATCTCTGCATGCCAGCCCCACCTTTCCTTTCTCTGCCCAGCCTTTGGCCCTTTAGCTCTTTATTAGACCAATCAGGTGTTTTAGACAGGTAAAGTAACAAAATTTCAGAGTTAAACAAATGCAGCATAAAAGAATGCAACACATCTTTGCATCATTAAACAAACGTTCTACAGCATAAACAAACATCTTCAGTTAATATTCCACAGCACTTTCTGTTGTTTTTTTGTTTTCTCCATTTTCTCAGCCAGTCGTGATATGTTGCTTTTATTGTTAGCAATGGAGCAAAGAGAAGCATGTATATTTGATAGCTCACTTCTCTTCCAGAACCCAAATTCTTGTGAGTGAGCAATTTGCATTGTCTGAGCCAGGCTATACAGCAGAGCGGATGATGCAAATTCTTACTATTACTGAAAGTGAAGCTCATGTGACCAGACAGCAGAATTGCTATACGATTGGATCATTTTTGTCAGGGATTATATGGGATTCAAGTCATCCTGGCATCCTGGTACTCTATGGGGAGTGCACTGTGGCATCCTGGCATGATAGGGGGAGTCTGTTGATGTGCCACCTTCCGCCTTTGTCCTTGCACTGATCACCATGGTCCAGGCACAGAGGGGCAAGAGCTCAGTTGCAGAGGTGCATCCCCACCCTTCCACTCTCTCTGCCCTCCCACATGGATTCTTGAGGAGTCCCTTGACAACAAACACGAGGCCAACCCCCATTCAGAGAACAAGACACATTCACTACCCTGGCCCGCATGGCATTTTTCTGGCACCACAGGCACCACAGCGTGTGTTACATCTCCTGTGGAATTCTCAGCCTCCCCTGGGTGCCCTGCCCAGACGTAGTCCGTTTCCCAAGCCTTGTCTACTTAGTGCGGTCGGGCATGCATCCTACACGCACCTCCACCTGGTCACCCCGACAAATCGTAAGCTTCCTCTCCAGACAATCTTCCTACACACTCGCTTTTCCTTCCCTTCTACAGCAGTGGGCATTTCTCATTACCTCTAGTCCAAAGGGTACCAAATCAGTGAGTGCCTAGTGTCAGGCCTGTCACATGACCCTTCTTATTGATCACAGCACCTTAGAGTCTCCAAATTAAACAGTATTCTGTCCTGTATCCTTGTTTCTCTAATTTTGTTAAGTTATCACTTTCTCAAATGTCCATCACCGTTGTAGGGCTGTGTGATGATATTTGCTCCGGAAGCTCTGAGGTAAAGGGATGTACCTCTGGGTCATTCCTCAGCCTGGGCGTCTCTCCCAAATGCTCTGAGCAACACTTCCTTGCTAGTCATACATTTACTTGTAAAGAAGTTAAAAGTATGTATAGATATTTGCTATATACTTAGTGTAGTTTTAATATATATTAATGATACAAAGAATGGGTTTCATTATAAGACTCTCATGCAGAAATATAACACACTTTGATAGTCTGAGCCCACAGCAAACACCCTATTCCAATTTGTAGGTTCCATTTACGAAAATGTTACAGCTATAGCAGATCTGTAAAGGCCTATGTGCTTTCTTTTCTTTTGAAAATGATTTCTTATTTTTGAGATTATAATTACATCATTTCTCCTTCCTTTTGCTTTCTCCAAACTCTCAAATATACCCATTCTTTCTTTCAAATTTACACCCAGTTTTTAATGAATTTGGGTTCTATATGTGTGTTTCTGCTTCTCTGTGTATGTGAGTATATTCCTAAATACATGACTACAACCTGCTGAGTCCATGTAATGTCGCTGGTACGTGTGTTTTCAGGCCTGATCATTTGGTACCAGATAACCATATATTTTCAAGACGGACCATTTGGTATCAGATAAACAACTGGTGTGCTCTTTCCTGGGGAAGACATCTCTCCCTCTCTTAGTATTCCATGGTTACATAAAGTTCTTTGCATAGGATTAAGGCCTCACGAGCCTTCTAAGGCGGCTAGTATTTTCATGTGAAATATCGAATAGACTAATTTTATTTATTTTCCTTTATGTATCCAAGAAAGCTTAAAGTCTGTTGTACAATTCAAAATGAATTCATGTTTATCAAAAGAAGACGTGTTTAGAAGCTATAATGAGATGCATGCCTGCCTTAGTAAATACTATCCACTGAACAAGTGTCTGGGTACAGATATAAGGTCAACAGTTTCAATTGCAGCCTTTAGTCAACACTACCGAAGAACTAGTCTTCATTCCTTTTCCTGGCAGATGTGGTGCATCCTGCTCACCATCCTGGTTGCCTTCAGGACTTCTCAGTGTGTCCCCATTGCCTTCAGGACTTCTCAATGTGTCCCTGTTGCCTTTGTTTTCCAGGAAGAATGCCAGAACTACATCAGAGTGCTCTTAGTGAGCGGGGACCGGCTATTCGCCTGCGGGACCAATGCTTTCACACCTGTCTGCACCATCCGCTCGGTATGTGTCTGCACTAAACCTCACAAACTTCCATCAGGAGCAACCAGACATGATGCCTTCAAAGCCCCATATAAAGGTGTCTCTGTACACCAAGGGCAAGTACCTTTTGCAACATTGCAGCATTAAGTAAATGCTTAATTTGTTCACGTCTAATCAGTCATGACTGTCACGTATATGAAGGACCAGAAACTAGTTGTATATTACATACTTAGGCATACTTTGAAACTATTTCAGCCAGTGTTTTCCCAATTAATGGCCTTAAGCACCAACCATAAACATACACTTCTTTCTTGCTTTCATTATGGTAGAAATACGATCAATGACTAAAATGCTCTAGAATCGCAATCCATATAGGAATAAAGTATATATAAGCAGGATAGGAGGTATGCCAAAAATAAAATAAACAAATATATTCATAAACAGAGAAAAGGCAGGACTGCTTTAGAGACAGGGAGTTTCGTCTTACAAGTCCCACTGTGGAGGCATGGCAGGGTCATTAGACATGCATGCTCTCTTCCTAATTCAGGATATTAATTTAATCTTCCTTGAGAAATATAACTAGGAAACACCATTATGTTAATTTATGGGTAGTACAACTTCTCTTAGAACCTTAACTTATCATCTCAGCTTACTGTTCATTATTTTAAAATTTATATTCAGTTATTGGACATAAAGAGAAGGAGCAGGAAGAGGGTACGTGCTGGCCACAAAGAATTCCCCGCTTTGCATATGCAGCTGTCAGTATGTGATCCCATTGTAAACACCGCATCTTCAGTATTTAAATCATGAGGTTACTTTGCGAGCTAGTTTTTAAAAGGGAAGATTCTGAGACTTGAAGACTTTATGTAATTTCCCCAGGACTTTGCTTCCAACAGCAGAGGACAGGGTGACCTTGCTATTCCTGTATAAACCATTTTAAGTATCTTTTTAAACTCAGTTAAAAGTCAAGAACCAAATTGAAATTGAGCCTTGTCAAACACCAAAATACCAAACAAACAGCAACAGCTCTCTCATGTTTTATTAGTTGGCAACCAGCGTTTGACAAGTCAAGCCAACACCTGACATGCATGCAGCTTTCTCAAGACTAAAAGGGAGAAAACAAAAAGAAATGTGTACCACATGGTGCAATATTGACATATGCTTATTTAGGACTAGTTTTTTAATTTTGTCTGGCTAATATTATGAAGATCATTCCTTATTATTATAATTATATATATATATACATATATATATATTAAAATTAGGTTCCTCATTGAAGTAGAATACAGTCAACACACATCCTATGTCAAAGCAATATATATAATATCCTTGTTTCATATTGTATCCCTAGCATGAAGTTCTGTAGCTACAGGGATGGCGTCTCTGGCCAAGATTGCAGAGAACTGTTTTCATAATGTCAGAATTAGGAAAGCTTTTCATCTCCCACACCCCAGAGCACACCTGGGACACTTGTCTAGCAGAGGAATACGGTGGAGGACATGAACACACTCAACGCGATTTCCCAAGGATGACTGGGTCCCCTCTTATTTTCTCCAATAGTTAAGTAACCTGACTGAGATCCACGATCAGATCAGTGGCATGGCACGCTGTCCCTACAGTCCCCAGCACAATTCGACAGCTCTGCTCACAGCCAGTGGGGAGCTTTATGCTGCAACAGCCATGGACTTCCCAGGGCGAGATCCAGCCATTTACAGAAGTCTGGGCTCGCTACCTCCTCTTCGAACTGCACAGTACAACTCCAAATGGCTCAATGGTAAGACCTTCATTCACTCCAACCTCCTGCTATTGTTTGTGATACCTGGCTTAAATATATAGCCACACTTTATAAAGAAGAGCAAAATGGTCACCTTCAAGGAATAGCACATCTAGTACAGGTAATGAGCAGTATATTCTTTAGTACTAGGAGTTGGCGTGATAGCCCCAACACTATAAGCCATGAAAATAGGTCTATATTGTCAGCTGGAGCCGACAGGAACACTCATCCGTGTTGAGCTGTTTCTGCCCATGCTGCTGTTTAGAATTAGGAAATTGGATGCTATGCCACAGATGCGTGTAGGCTCATGTGTTTTTCTCAATGATAAATTTGAACAAGAAATTAGTACTATTTCATGACATTTTCAGACAGTATAAAGAACCCATTTGCCTAGAAGTAACTCTAAATAATTTGACAATCTTAAAAATGTCATTAGTGTACTATCATTTTGGGGCAAGCATCTTCAGAGTTTAATGCAAGGCCTTGAGAGTTCATGGAGACCCAAGTCTTGTCACTTTAGATTCTGCCAGGCAAAGCCTGATTGGTCACCAAAGCAGCTCTGCTCCACTCAAGGATACAGAATCATCACTGTAACTTCAGACTTCTTTCCAGATGTGGCAGTGTCCCCTGGAAGACATACTAGGCTTGGGCCTCTTTCTCTTTTAAGGAACTGGAAATTGACAGAAAATACCATTGCAAGCAAGAAACAAATTGCCTGTTAACTAAACAGCCAGAGAATGGAAAGAGGCAGCTGCACAGATGTGGGCTGCTATGTGAAAGCCATCCATGTGTATGTGAGTGTGTCCACTCTCACAAGGGGGTGTCCGGCACACGCGATAATCCATCACCTCAGGCTTCATGGGACCGTTGTCACAAAGGCGAAATCTTGGCTTTGCTAGTATAATACTTGTTTTGCTATTTCAAGAGCTACAAAGATTTAGTGGTCTTATTCCCATCACACACTGTATATGTAGAGGAGAGTCCCTCTCCCTCCCCGATGCTACTCGTGTGCTCAGGTCATTCTTTATTATGGGAAAGGCATTGTCTTTGCAGAGGTTGTTTAGTGTCATTTGCGGTCTCTGTCCATTAGAGCCGAGCCATTCTTCCCCCTCTGTAAGTTAACAGAAATACATACATATCTTCTCAAATATTGCCCAAGGGAAGCTATCTCCTTTTGAGGACTATTGGCTTTTACTCAGGAATGTCAGACATTCATCTATCTGTACGTGTCATGTATCTCTCATCTACCAGTCATCTATCCATCCATCACCTTTCCATCATCCATCACCTGCCTGCCATTTATCTCCCACAAGTAATTGCTGAATAATGCTGTCAAGCCGAGCATCACAGTTTGCCTTCTGAACTCCCTGCTAGGAAAACCACGCCACCATCTCCATGCCTCTAGGAGTCTGGCTGACTGTGCTGTTTCCAAAAGGTTTTCTGAACTGAGAAGTAACTAGATTTCTCACACTAACACCTCTTGTTTTGAACTCATTTCAACTTAGCCCACCTACTCCCTATAGATAGCCCCCTATTGTCTCTGAAGCCTTTATTGTGGTATCTTCAAGTTGCTTTCCTGCATATTGGCAATTTTTACTAACTGTAGAGAATTGAAAATCAACTAACTTTTTTCTCCTACTGGCCAGCTGCTTTGATTTAGTTTTTCTTCAGACATCCCTTTCTCTGTGAACTCTCATCCTGACCACATTATTTAAAAATTGCATCCTGTTCTGTCTTGCCTTCATGACCCTTTACTTATGTCTGATTTTTAGCCCTAGCCATTATAATATTTTAACATTTAGCTTCCATCTTTCACAAAAAGGGGCATTTGCCAATCATTGGAGTTAATCTCTCTTGTGTACTTAGTTTACACCTGCAGAGGTATATATTGAGTGTTTGGTTGATGATACTTGAATACGTGAATTAATGAATGCCATAGTCTATGTCCTAGAATTTACAGATTGAAATCTTATTCCTCTCCCCCATGTGAAATATCAGGAGAATGACTGGGGGTCTTGAAGTTGGGGTCCTCATGACGGTATTGGTGCCCTCTAAAGAGGCTACCATTCAGAGAGCTGTCTAACCTCTTCCATCGTGTGAGATCTGTGAACTTGGTAAGCCTTCACCCATCATGAAGTATGCTAGTAGCTTGGCTGGTAGTGTTTCGATCCAGGCATTTGGGAAACAAATTTCTGTTCTTTATAATAAGCCCCTTGGTATTTTTGCCATAGCAACATGAACAGACTGGAAAAATAAGTAAAATGGAAATTGACTATTTTGTTTCTCTCATTAGTTTGTGAATTTCTTGAGGGCAAGGGTAAGGCGGAAGCCATGTTTTGGGCTTAGTACCTTAGGCTTAGCCAGTGCTTGGTAAATGAGCAGGAGTTAAGAATATTTCATAAATAGAAGAAAGAATGATGTTATTACATTGGCAACATATCTCAGTTGAAATCTAGAATCATAAAAACACAAAGAAACTCAAAACGGCAACAAAGGCAAGACTCACATGTATCAGATGGCTCAGGTACAAACATTTGAAGATGCTCTTTTTCACCCCCATCATGTCTGCCCTGCTTCAGTCATTACGTCTCCACTTATCAAACGCAGTATAATTGGCTGAATAGCAATATGCAGGCATCTGGAACATTAAATTGTGTGTTTGATGGTGAATATAATTTTCAAGACCAGATTTTTTTTCCTCTGTGCCAAAATTACTCTTAAAACAAATTTATGTATTTATTAGAGAAATTTCTTAACAGCTTTAATGCATTAAAATATTAATCATTTCTAACCCTTATTAAATGATTACTGTCAGACAGAGCAATAAACGTTTAATAGCCAAAGCTTAGAATAGAAGCTGTAAAACTTGCCTTCATGAAAGTGACAGTCCAAATGGGGAAACAGTAAACCCGTGAAAAAGAAAAGCAAAGAGTGTGTCCAAAAGAATACCGTGCAATTGTTTGTAAACAGGCAACTGCATTTGCATAGCTTGGTATCTCTCTGAGAACATGGAAAGTAAACTCCTGCATGGACTTTAGAAAGTTCCCGTGAAGCTCCGTGTAGGTGTTATCTATTAACACTCAGGGATTTGCTGGTTTTCGTCCTGTGGGGAACCATTTGCTGCCCCATTTGATGGACATACAAATTCCTTAGTGACCTCGAATCTGAGCTTCTACGCCTGGTTGCCTCTGTAGGACTCACTTGAGATCACAAGCATCCTCAAAGTTAAAGTATCATGTTCTGTGAGGCGTCAAGTTTCTAGTCCAGAAAACGTTTTGGGTGACCGTCTTGAACCATCCTGGTTTCATATCTATCTATCTCGTTTCCATTGTGATAGATCTCTGATATATCCAAGCCTTTGGGAGACCCATTGGAGACCTTAAAGATAGTGATTAAATTTTAATAAGTAAAGACTGGAGGAAGAAGATTCCTATATACATGTCAAGGGGTAGTAGTTATTGCCTACCCCTGAAAAGGATTGGTGCCTGCCTGTAAAGTCTGTGCTGGCTCCTGGTAGCCAGTGTGGCTACACTGGGTTCCATTCTCCTCATAGTGATTACACAGTGAAGTGTTCCAGTTGATGTGGGATTCCCCTCTGTATGCTATGAATACCATTGGTTAATAAAGAAACTGTCTTGAGCCCGTGATAGGGTAGAAAGGAGCTAGGCAGGGAAGACTAAGCTGAATGCTGCGAAAAAGAAGGGCAGAGTCAGAGAGAAGCCGTGTAGCCCCACCAGAGAAAGATGCTGGAACTTTACCCGGTAAGCCACTGTCAAATGGCGATACACAGATTAATGGAAATGGGTTAAATTAATATGTAAGAACTAGCCAATAAGAAGCCAGAGTTATGGGCCAATCAGTGATTTACATAATGTAGTTTCTGTGTGATTATTTCGAGACTGAGCAACCAGGAACAACAAGCGGTCTCCTTACTACATCCCATGAAGAAAATACCTTGGCCTTCTAGATTGGCGTCACTGTCTGCAGCTAATGCATGCCAAATAAGGAATATGAAAGCTAAGAGGGCTTGGTGGGTAAAATTAAATGAAAACTCAAGTTATTGTCGAGGGAAAGGAAAACCCTGTAAAACAAACATGAAGGCAGATTCCATGGTCACCTTTATAGTTTTTAATGTTTGTCTAGGCATATATTAAAATGGATATTGCTGTCAACAGGGCTCTCTCTTTAGCCATATGACTACTGAACCTTAAACTGGGTAGGGCACCATGGCAGGGTCAGAAAATATACCACATGTGTGACAGGCAACAGTACAATAAATTTTTCTAATGTTCATGCCTAATTTTATTCATCAGAAAGATGTGTCAGGATGAACATGCTGTGCAGAATCCATTTGTTTTGGAAATTCTTGCAAATTATATATGATTATCTCTTTAATGTACCAAAATATCTTAATAAATTCTCTTACTGCACTATCTGCCTGATGGTATGCCTGCTGCACACTAGTTACTGTGTGAGGTACATAAGAGAATTGCAAAGGCTGAGTAGACACTCCAGTTAGAAGGGTCACCCCACATCCATCTCACTAACAGTCTTCCCTGCAGACATCCAAAAGAGATCCTGGTCCTCAGTGTCCAGATGATACCTGAACCACACCCAGTGACAACTTAGGATTTGAAAACAGATCCCACTCCATAGCCTGCACCCCACACCTACCACATGAGAGCAACCTCCTTTGTGTGTAGACTACACATTAGGAAACAAATACTAGAAGCAGGCGTGAGCTCTTCCTCTCCAGTGATACATATATCCTCATGCATAACTGCCATGGAAGAGGGCCATATGCACTTTGAGGAAGGGCTGAGCATTTTCTTCAGTGCTGAAGCATTGCAGAAAAAAGGGATGTAATGAACTGAAATTACCCAACCAAAGAAGACAAGCTGGCAGGATGATTTAACACAGCCCTTTATGGGATGTAAGAAATCAATTTGGTACTGCTTTTTGAAAATAATAGGACATTAACTGAGCACCGAGTGACTGAA